CTCCCCCTTCCTCCCTCCCTTCCTCCTTTCCTCCCTCCCTCTCTCCTTCCTTCCCCTTTCCTTTCCCTTCCACCCTTCCTTCCTTCCCTCCCTCCTTCTTCTTTCCCTCTCCCCCTCCCTCCCTTCCTCCCCCCTTCCTTCTTTTTTTGACAGGGAAGTTAAGGAACATTTCTGCTGGGCGCCTCCACCCCTCCCCCATCACTCACATTTTCTTCTTTGGCAGGGGCTCTGCCTCACCTCCTGTCCTTCTCTGCCCCTCCCATGGCAAGGGCTATAGCCCTTCTAGGTCCTGCATCTAACTCCAATACCCCCATCTCTTATCTCATGGATAAGATAGGGAAATTTAAATTAATTAAATGAAATTGAAATGAGGGAGATTTCACTCTCTTTCGGCTATTGCTTTCTTGTGATTTCATACCCACAGGGAATTTTTAGTAAATGATAAATACTTTTTCACTATTCTAAATGATATTTTCATGTCATGTCATGTCATGTCATTCATTCATTCATTCATTCAATAAATGTACTTAGTCTGATACATCTAGTGTCAGCCGTGGCCCAGCAGAAGGCGGACCTGACTGTGCTCATTGTGGGAATGCCATCCACACTGTGCGTGGTGGGGCCAGGGTGGCGGGCTGGGGAGAGCCAGGGTTAATGGCCACTTGGTGGTTCGGAGTTAGGAGATCTTAAAATGGAAAGCGACCTTAGAAATGGGTGGCAGGCATTTCCTGGGCCTCAGCATTATTTCCTTTTGTCAAGGAAAATAGGAATCAGACTGAAGAAGGGGATGTGGATCTTGAGCCCAGGGAAGACTTGAGAAGCATAAGTCAAATAGGGACACATTGGCCTTTTGGTTGGGCAGACTTTGTAGCAGGGAGGGAAAAGCCCTTACAGGTGAAATATCTGTGGGGCTTTGCTTATGTCCATAAACTAAGGAAGTCTCAGTGTTCACTGTGAGTGGTGAGTACAGACCATCATCCAAGTGCTTGCTGGGCAAGGCGGTGTGGGACTGGCTGGACTTCTAGCTCATGGGGCTGTGCCCGTGGCCCTCTGCGCGTGGCAGGAAGGAGAAAACCACAAAGCTGTCTGCCAGCTGAGGGATATCATGGGAGACTGTTCCAGCTTCATCTCCTATAAAATTATGAAAATGTCTCTAGGTTCCCTAGCAGACAATGTTTATTTCCCATGTTGTCTAGAGGACGTCAGGAAGCATGGGCTGGGAGTTCTGTGGAGGTGGGGAGAGGGGCTGTTTTGATTAGACCTTCCCAGCTATGTGCCAGCAGGGTCACCTACTAGCTATCCTCTCCACTGATTGGTAGAAAGCGCTCATTAATCAGCATGGAAACAATGCCCAGAACCTTAGGGGCTAGAGATGTGCACAAACACCTGGCCACAGGTGGCCCAACCGTGCTGCAGAAAGCAGGGCTGCCAGCTTGGAGGAGGTGATGGCATCAGAGGACACTGTTTAGGACAACAGGAGCTATCATTTATTGAGGTCCAGCACTTGCCAAGCTCTTGGCTGAGGGCTTTATAAGCATCCTATCCTGTCTTCAACAACCTGTGAGGGAGATGTCGGTATCCTTTCTATATAAGTTCAGTCCTCTACCTACATTCTGCATTTGAAGTCAGGTGTGTCTGATGTGAAAATCTGTCCCTACGGCCATCTCTGGAGCAAAACAAGCAAGTAGTCACTCCCCTCAACATACAGCTGAGCCCAGAATAGCATGACTGGGTGCTCTGTAGGTTCAGCATGGCCTGCCAGGGCCTCCAGGACTGTTAGAAAGCATAAGCAAACTAAAGTAGGCTTCAGGATGATGGGGTTCTCAGAGAATGAACCAGTTTTCAGTGTTGCTGGCTGCCCAGGGGTGACACCATGTTTCTTAGGGTTCATGGGGGCTAGGACATGACTAGAGGATGAGTAGCTCTCATTTCCGCAGGCCTTAGGCAGAAGTTGAGGCCAGGATTGCAACTGTGAGAGTAGCACTATGGCATCTCTAAGCTTTCTGGTTCTCAAGGCCACTCCCAGGGCCAAGGGTCCCCATGGGCTGACGTCTGCCTGCGACAGTCTCCTCGGGTCTCTGCTCGTGCTTGGACCACCACTGATGCTATTGGGCATCATCTTTTATACTCAGGACTATGTTCTAAGATTGCAAATGAATGAGGGGCTCACTGTGCTGTGTGGGAAAACAGGTCATGGAAATACAGCATTTTTCTCTCTAAGGTCCCCTTTGGCCATGACGAGAGGGGGTAGGATTCTTTGCCACTCACAGATTAAATCTTGAAAAGACTGGCAGTTTGCAAAAGGCTCTCCCAGAGACCTTGGTAAATGAAGCTCCTTGCAGGAAGTGTGGAGTCGCCGTTCACCCTGGCAACATGCAGCTGGTGCTCAATGCCTGTGACCTGACCGCTCACAAATATTTCTTAGGTACATATCATGTGGGCTGGGGGTGGAGGGTGGGGAGATGAAAGAGGAGGTCTGATGGAGACAGCAGTCCAAGGCCCTGATTTCACAGTGTGGTGGAGTAAACATCATCTTTGGAGATAGGTGGTTCTGGGTTCAGACCTTAACTCTTCTGTAACCCGAACTTATGGCCTGTATGATCTAGAGCAAGGCTGTCACCCCTCTGGACCTCAGCTGCCTTTCTTTGTAAAAGTGAGATGCGCTACCCCCTCACATAGGTAGGTAAGGAGGAAACGAGTTAGCAGGTGTGTGCGCCTGGGTGTAATGCCACGCGTGGAGCAGCTTGGAGCAGACACTATGGTACAGCACACATATCCCTTTGGCGTCCCTGGAGGTCCCCGCCGCTCCCTGCCTGCAGGCGTTCTCCGGTTGTGAGCATGCTCAGCCCATGTGTACGACAAGGCGGAAGTGCTAGGGAGTCAAGTCCAGCGGTACCCTTCACCCAATGAGGGACTCCACTTGCTCACTCCTCAGTGTAGTAATTATGAGGGGTGTTTCACAGTCTCTTAGAAGGTCCCCAGGGGGACTGAGCCCCAGTCGCCTGCGGCCTTCAATTGTTCAGAACACACGCGTGCTGCCTTCCCTCTCCTCTCTGTCTCACTACCCCACTCCCTCACCAAAGCTTCCTGGGAGCACTTCCCAAATAAACTACTTACTTCTTGACATAGCAGGTAACCCCAACTAAGACAGAAGACCAATGAAACCTCCTATTGTGATTTTCAGAGGGCATGGAAGTAGGTAATTAATAAGGAGAAATATAAAATGCTATAGAAGAAAAAGATTACTACCATCTGAAGTCATTGGGGAAGGCTTTGGGAAGGAGATTACAGGCAACATTTGATCTGATTGCTAAAGGATGTGAAGGATTTGTACATAGGGGATGGGACAAGGAAGGGAATATCAGGAGAGGGAACAGAGTTTTGCATCCACTTTTCCAAAGATTGCTACTAAAGCTGTGTGTGAGTCAGGTGGGCAGACAAGTCAGATGAGTCCATGCATCACCCTCATCTGGACACAGAACCTCCTGGCTGGCATGGTCCTGATACTTTGGCCCTGTGCTCGGCACACTTTCGGGTGATATTTATCAGTGCGCATGATGCAGGCTAGTGCTTTCTTTCTGCCCCTGAAGTGTGGCCCTGTAACCTCCTATCTTTGCCGAGCCGTTTGTCACAATCTGTGAATCCCCAGCAAACACTGTGCCCTGTTGTCCACCAGAACATCCCATGGGTCTCGAGTCTTCTGAAGGCATCAGTGAGGTTTCTGCCAGTGTTTCTTAGGGTCCTTGGGGGATTATGAGCTGACTCCTCTCCTTGAACCTCACAGGACTCGCTGGGGCTGTGACCCCCGAGTTTGAGACATTAGGCTTATGTTCGTTTCACTTATCTGATGATTCTCCATCATTTGAGCGAGTGAGTATAAGGTGTCCCAGTCTATCCAGAGAGCATACAAATGCAGGCTTTCCTGCTGGAAATGAAGGAGGCGAGAAAGAGGAAAAATGTCATGGTACCCAAGACAAGTCTTTGCTGCCTGTTGACTGTAGTTCATTGGTTAACAAGGCTTTTTCATCAGGGACTTTGGTTCAAATAAAATCTTATGGAAGTGGCAATCACACAGTTAAAAGCTGCGTTCCCCTTGATAAGGTGAGGGTGGTTAGAGGAAGTTCTGCTTGCTCACATCCCCCTTACAGGAGTACAGCATGAAACCGCTGCTGGAGTGGATAAGAGGAGGGAAGTGGAGGGAGAAAGGTGATGATTCTGTGTACCCTTTGCCTTCTGTGGCTTCACAGTACCTGGCAATCCATTTGGGACCTCCCGGATGAATTCAGTTCTAATGTGCTAGAGACAGATCGCTTGGTTTCTACTCTGAAGGAATGAGAGCCGAGAGACAATGGTTCATGTAGTCAGGATTAAAACTCTGAAGAGGTGAAAATCTGTCTCTCAGTCTTACCAGCTTTGCTCTTTTCTTTCAGAGGTTCCCAAAACAGAACAGACTTTTGAAGAACGCCTGATACTCAAAGCTTTCTTGCTAAAGTTTGTCAATGCCTACTCACCCATCTTCTATGTGGCCTTTTTTAAGGGGAGGTGAGTATAATGGTTTCACACGTGGAAGTGCAACTTGTCCCTAAGACTGGGTCCCCCGCTAGAGTCAGCTTGTCCCCACTGTCAGTTCACACTCTCAGTCCCATTCCCCATCTCCATCCCCACTGTACTGTTTGTGAAGCGGTGGCATAAGCGTTATGTCATTTTGGATTAGAATCTTTGGATTCTGATAACCAGAGAAACTATAGGGATTTGACCCTGGGCCCCAGAGGGTGAGTCTTAGAATAATCTGGGCCTCCCAACTTTGAGCATGAGATAAGAAGGAATTTCAGGTCTCATGAATGGCTCATAGGTCTTGCAAGCACAGACTTCGCAGATTAAGGGCACAGTCTTCCACGAGATTGCCCTCCCTCCAAACACTAGCTGCAGGCTCTGGAGTTCCTATGCCACTCATGATTCAGACCAACTGGCTACAGCCGCGAACTGCTCAGGTTTGCTAATTCTCTAGAATGACTCATAGAACTCAGGAATGTCCTGTACTTAAAATTACAGTTTTACTGTAGAAAGGGGGTACAAATGCAAACCAGCAAGTGGGAGAGGCACATAGGGTGAGGTTTAGGAGGGTCCTAAACAGAAGCTTCCAGGTCCTCAGGATGCATTAGTTTCCTGGCACGTTGATGTGTCCCACCAACCAGGAAGCTCATCCAAGCCTCCGTGCCCAGAATTTGTAAGTTTGCAGTACGTAGGTGTGATTGGTTGAAGCATTCACCATGTGACTGAGCTCAGCCTCCGCCCCCCTTCCATCCCCTGAGGTCAGGCTGCTACTACCTGGATGAAAGGCCCAACCCTCTAATCACACAGTTGGTTTCTGTGGCATGGCCTCCCCCATCCTGAGTGATCTCATTAGCATAAATTTAGGTATAGTCTTAAGATCCCAACTATCAATAACAAAGAGAATCCTAGGGGGAAGTTCTAAGGATTTAGAGGCTTCTCCAAGAACCAGCAACAAAGGCCAGTCAGATTCTTTATTATGCAATGTGTCTAGCTGTAAAATCACTTCTGACAATTAGATCAGTTGGCTACCTATAAGGAGATTTCCTAGTAGGCATTAACTTTGTCAGAAAAGCTTCCCTAGCACTAAAATCTCATCAAGCAGGCCTCCATAGCAAGAGCTATTATTGTGCATATTTGATAGTTTCTTATAAATAGGTTTGTGACACAAACCACAACCCCCTTCCTGGGATCTCTGCCCTTGACTCGTATGAAATTATAGTAGCAGAGAGACTATCCATATTAATGGGTATATACTCCACTGGTGCTTTCACTCTAGATTTAATATCAATAGCAGATTTTCCTACATAGATATTTCAGGCCAAAAAATAGGGTCCCGACCCTTAGATAAATTTGTGGTCTATTGAAAGAGATGGTCTTATCTACAGCACACGCAATGAGTTGCTATCATAGAAGTATAAAGAAAGTGCCCGGGAAATACTTAATTGTGAACAGAGACAGAAGACTTCACAGAGAAGGAAAGATTTGAGCTGAGCCTTAAATAGATGGGTAGGACCATTTCCTGGGAAATCAGAATCTCCCACCGAGGAGCCTCGATCAGAACTCAATTCTTAACATTGGTTGAGGGAGGAAGCTGCACAGATAGTACATTTAGGGATAATCCAAACCTCGTGGCATTGAGGCTCAGAAATTGTCACAGGTGCCCATACACAAGACCTTCCCAGGCGCACACCAGCCCCAGCCTCAGCCCCTGTCCCCTGGAACTCGGGTTAAGAGGTGAACCCTCGGTGGTCAGGTGACAGCTAGCCAATAACGCAGTGTCCACGCCCACCCCTGGGTGAGTTGGCCCCTGCCCTGGCCAGTTCTTTCCAGGAGGCTGTTGGACGGTGCCTCTTCCACTCAGAAGGCAGGCCTTCTAGCAGCCCTGCCTTCCCCTTCCCTAACTCTCCCACACTTCTGGATTTCAGGTTCGTGGGCAGACCTGGAAGCTATGTTTATGTGTTCGATGGTTACCGCATGGAAGAGGCAAGTACAGTCCGGCTGGTGGTGTGCCCGTGCACCCCTGGCCCCGGCCGTCCCCCCTTGCAGCGTGCCTCACTTCTTGCCCTTGCTTCTCTGAGCTCCACTTGGTCTAACCACATCTTCCGTTATCTTCTTTTCCGGGCAGTGTGCTCCAGGGGGCTGCCTCATGGAGCTCTGCATTCAGCTCAGCATCATCATGTTGGGGAAGCAGCTGATCCAGAACAACATCTTTGAGATTGGAGTCCCGTATGTAATGAACTCCTCTTCCCTCTCCGCTTGCCACCAGGGCCTAGCCCAGCAGGGCCAGACTTCCAGCAGGGTGTTCCCGGCCTCCTCTTCTCAGAGAGCCTGGTTATTTACTCCTCTGTCCACTTGACAATAATTTTCCCCATGAGGCAGGGCCCCTCCCACAAGCCTTGTTTGCCGATCTGATTTGGGAGGTTTGAAGCTTAGAAAGATTAATAAGCACTTGCTTCAGTAACCTAAGGACTAAGTGGCAGAACTAGGAGTCAGGTAGCTCAGACCTCAAAGTGTAAAGTATGTTTAATGCTCACTGTCCTCCCACTGAGTTAGTAAAAAAGGACTCTCATTATGGTGGATATAAATGAATACGAAAGTTTGAAATACTGTGTAATAATTTAGAGCAATCTCTAAGAAGCTGTGGGATATGTGATCTTAGGAGGGGAAGGATGCAGAGCTGGTAAAGCTCAGACTGGATCTTCACGTGGATCTTCTATCCCCTCCCACATGGTTTGATACAAATTTCATAGAAGGACCTCTTTCAGTTAGGTGTTGCATGGAGATAGGTGACTCACAGGCACTGGATCTAAAAGAAATGAAAACTCAATAATGAAAATCTACCTTCAGGTCAAAGAAAAATGTAACCCCCCTCCTCCATCTTGCGTTTCTATTGCTTTTTGGTGCTCACGTACCATTCCTTAGGCTCAATGCTTTGGGTGTTTTTCTGCCCTCACTCCGAGACAGTCGCGGGTAGCCCTTGAGTATGTGCCTTTATAGGAGGAGGATGGGTAAGAATGTCGTGTCTGGCCATCCTGTTGCACCTCCCTGCTTAAGCCAGCCTCTAGTCATCAGTCAGGAAGTGATCACTTTTGAGAAACTCCGCCCTCTGAAAGTGTGCCCTGTTCCCAGCTTTCTGATCGAAAGTCATTCAGTGATAGTCGAGCGAAGCTGGTGAAACACATGGCCACCGTTCTCTAGGAGCTTACCATCTCAGAGAGAGACCACATTTGTTATGGATAAACATCCAGAAAATATACAGACCAAGAAAAGATGTACCAAAGCCCCATCTGGCTCCTTTGAAGCTACATGACCAGCCCATCCACTCCTGCTACAAAGGAAAGTCTCCATTCTCCTTCAGACATCTGGGGAAGACACCTGTCCTTCCAGTGTGTCGTTATTCTGCTCTGGATGGAATTGTACACAGCTTGCAGGCATGAGATTTATTCATCCCTGGACATCTGCTCTACCACTTAGTCCATTCACTCTGGACCCAGAGGCCTTTTATAGAGGATAAGAGACAAGAGCTCAGGCATATGTTTGGATAATGTATTGGCATGTCCCCCCACCCATCAACTCCATCGGCTCCATAACAGATGAATTAACACATGGCTATTTGCCTTGAAGGCTAAATTTTCTTGTTTATGCTTGATGCGTGTTTAATATGCCACACTTTAATTGATGGCAATTGCATAGGGACTCATAAAGCTGTGGGCAAGTCACTTCTTTAAGTCTTGCTGTCCTCCTCTCTTGATGAAAATGATGGCATAAGAATCATCTCTGAGGTGTTCTCATTTCAGCTCTGACATTCAGTGACCTTCTCCTCTATTCAGTGAAACTGGACACTGCTGGTTCCAAATACAGGTCACTTCTGTTTCAAAAGATTGTTCCTCATTTCAGTTTCTAGTCTGCTAGAGGAAACATACAATGTAATTATGTAGTTAATTTCATATATACATATATTAACTATATAAGATATGTCGTTAATTATAATAATGAATATGTAGTTAATCCCTGAGGATGTAGAGCAAAAATTCTTCTACCAAGCCCCAGTGTCTTTTATCTCCAAAGTTCTTTGTAATTCTACAGGTTGTATTCTGAGTTTGGCCACATGAAATCACTATGATAGTGATTATTGGATTTTCCACTCCCTACTGAGAGCCCACTCTCTAGAAATTAGACCCCACCCAATCCAGAGTTCAAGCACCTGGTGATATCCTTATGTGTGACACTGTTGAGAAACATGACATAAGCAAGAAAACAGAAGGAGTCTTTCATAGTCAAAAGAGAAATGACAGTTGAACCTGACAGTGAGGAAGGAGAGGTATAAATTATAAAACTTAGACTCAGTGGTCTTGAATTCTGTGGTGGAGGTAGCACATCTCAGTAGGACAGAGATTGTCCAACAGATCTGGGTTTAAATTGAGGCATTATAATGTACTCACTGTATGACCTTGTTATAGTTATTCTAAAAAGATTTTCATGCAACATGGCTTATGTAAAAATAAAGGTTGGATGAATGCCCAGCTGTCTAGAAAATAGAAAATATGGAGTCCAAGAAAGGAGGGACCATTCTTCGGGGTTCCAGTCAGCCTAGGTGTACTGAACATCATTACCTTTACATTTGTAAGTGATGCGTTGTGAGTGCTGCAAGTCCGAGAATGAGATTGAGAAGACCAATTCAGGAGCACTATTTTTCTCTTCTGTTCAGGGCTTAATGGCTTTTGGCTCATGTACCTTCAGTTTCTTTCCCTAGAAGAGATAAATATTAGTCTTAGAGGCCAGATTTGATTTTTAAAAACAGAAGCAAGTCTGAGGAGTTAGGTAGGTGATTATACTAGTTAAGAGCACGGGATAAAAGATATAAGATTATACAGTTAGAAGATGTTTATCTTGAATCATAGATCTGTGCCTCTGAAACAAATAATACATTATATGTTAAAAAAAAAAAAAGATAGCAGGAGGGGAAGAATGAAGGGGGGGAAATCGGAGGGGGAGATGAACCATGAGAGACTATGGAGTCTGAAAAACAAACTGGGGGTTCTAGAGGGGAGGGGGGTGGGAGGATGGGTTAGCCTGGTGATGGGTATTAAGGAGGGCATGTTCTGCATGGAGCACTGGGTGTTATGCGCAAATAGTGAATCATGGAACACTGCATCAAAAATTAATGAGGTAATGTATGGTGATTAACATAACATAATAATAATAAAAAAGAACTGAGAAATGCTAGTGGCGAGTGAAAGACTCTCTGAAATAAACAAGTAATTGGAAAAAAAAGGTGTTTATCATCTACTTCTGAAAGTGATTTTTTAAGATTCTTCCAAAGAAAATTTTGAAATATTAAAGACTATCTAATTGACTATTATCAGTAGCCAGTCAGCTATAATTTATCTCTCTCCCTGAGGGTGAAACATTCTTATTAGATTCTGTGTGTGTGTCTTGCAAAAAGTACCACAACCACAATTTTGATGCCCTTGAGAATCTTACAGTCCAGTAGGTTTCTTATAGAACATTCTTACCCAATCTTCAGTGATTTGTAAGCTAACTCTTAAAGTTTTTTTTTCTCTCTATCTACCTAAACAGCTATTTGCCTATTCATTTCCTCTAAACCAACTCACTTTTTATTTAAATTCATAACATTTCTGAAAATGGAAAATGAACACTGCCAGCTATCACGAATAGCAACTCACAGTAGAAAGAAATACGATAAAAGTAAACACTATTAAACAACCAATGACATCAGCCTAAGATCTGCATTCTCTCTGTTATAAAGGAAGCCGGACAGGCACTGGGGAGTTGTTAAAGGCATGCCAGCAGCAGACTGGGGTTTTCTCCTTGACCGCCATCAGAGGGGCTGAACGAGAGCAGGGAAGGAGGGAATTCTCCCAGATGCTCTAAAGAGATGAAGGCCAAGTGTAGAGACCTCCAAAGGTGTCCAATGGGCTGCCGGTGCAATGTGTCTGTTGCTCGGGAAACATTGCTTTAGACCAATAGCATCCCTGCTAATCCCGCAGGCTTCCACAAGGCTGGCACAGATGCGGGGCATGTGCATGGATACTGTACAGCTGCCCTTTGGGACCTGGATAAGCCTCGCCAGCTCGCCCAGACCCCGCTTTGCTACCCCTTAAATCTGGCAGGTGCCAGATCTACCCCGAAATCCTTGGGGCTGTGCGGCAGCCCGGCTCGTCCAAGCACCTCCCCCCAGGCAGTGGCAGTCCCACCTTGGCCAGGCCTGGATTCAGAGGCCCTGTGGATGAAAGGAACACAGTGCTTCAAAGGGAGGCAGTGAAACTGGGGGCGGTGGGCTCTTTAAAGGCAGCTCTGCGACTAATTGAGGACATGATAATAAATAAAACTGAGTTGCGTGATCTGGCCTTGGACCATCCCCACTCAGCATCCCCAGGCTCCTGGGGCCTGACACAGTTGTGACAGATGCTTTCCAGAGAGGCACTGGATGGTTTTAAACATTACAGGCCCCAGAACAATGCTCATCGGCAGCTCCATCTGAGATGCCTTCCGACACGGCGGGCGGCGTGGCAGAATCGGATCTTGTGCTATTTATTACCCGGGTCCCCTGACAGGGGTTTCCATTCTCCCCTGCTGCTGCCCCACACACCCCGCCTTTCCCACATGTGTCTGTGCAAGATAGACTTTGCATCCAGATCGCATGGGGCCCCCGAAACATGCCACCCCACATCCCAACTTCTCACCATAATTTTATCTCAAACTTAGCTCCAGTCTTCCTTGAAGCAAAATTGGAAATGGGCCTTTTATTATTATTAAGAAGGATTTTTTTTTTGATAAAAAATAAAATGCTATCTTTTTCAAATGCCGGATTCTTTCCTGGGCGAAGTCCGAGGCAGACAGAGCAAATACATGAATACTCCCACCAGCAAAATGTCCCCCCATCCCTATTCTTACTAAAAACACCAGATCACATCCCAAAATAGCTGTAATGTACCCTGGACACGGCCAGCAAGATTTTATAAACTCTGCTTTTTTTTTTTTTTTCGGTAAATGTGATAAATATTACATTTCAAGACATAAAACAGTCTCTCTTTAAAGGCATCACAGGCGAAGGAGGTCTGTGTTCTCAAAGACAGTGGAATCTGGCCATGAATCAGAAGTTTAAGGAACAAATTTGAACCTTGTCAGGTGTCAAAGAAAGGAATACATAGCCTAGAGGTTGCTATGTTCCTCTTCTTTGGTCCATTTAGGGCTTGGTTCTG